AAAAAATTAAAACATTTAAAAAACCGCACCAAACGCACCGAAGTCAGAAATGGAATTTTCCTCAATTGTCAATTCTACAGTGATGTGGTTCAGCTGGGGTTTGGAATATTATTCTTTTCACATAAACAAATTTTTTTGTTAATAAATATATTTAAATCGACAAAAACGAGTAAAAAGGGAGAGAATAAAAGGAAAGAAAAATGATGCATCTTTTCACCGGTCAAATTATATGTATGTTAATTAGCTGGATTGCTGAATTAAAAAGTGGAGACTGGAGAATTCCTTGTCTTTGAGCACTTCAAGTGGAGATGGGTGCTAAATGGATGCGACGAGTTGAACGATAAAATTGAGAAATAAGGATATGTAGTCACAACAGATGTGCAATTAAGTACTCAAAACTTTAGATCTTTTGAATAAAGACACTTGGGAAGATTGTATCTTTAAATTGAAATAAACCTTCCGGGAAAATCATGCGTGCTGCAAGTGGTAATTTAAAAGTTTATTTAATAATCAATATACTTTTATGATTTTTATTTTTAATAAGGGTAATGGTTAGAAAGTTAGTAAAATTAGTTTGTTAGCAGTTAGGATTTCTCAAAATGGTGAACATTTCACTCCTCGTATGAGGCACGCGGCCATTAAGTCGTAAGTTGGTGGAGTTCACGGCGGTGGCAGAACTCGAAACCCTAACTTCTGCCTCACCCAAACTCTAAGACTTGGAGACCAACCATTGAGCATCAAGCCCGGTTGGTAATATACCTTTATGAATTGAACGTACTAAATTGGTGTAAAAGTTTGTTTTGATGATTATTTAAAAATAGTTAGTTTTCATATGTATAAAAATTAATATCCAGCATTTGGTGGTTTAATTGTCACCCCATTGCGAGACGTGCTTAAGACTAACAAAATTTGAGATCAAATCCCAAGTCCCCCTTCTTCCTTCCTCAGAAAAATTTCACACTGTTTAAAAATATATATATATATAAATTAATTCTAAAACACTTTAATCTTAAACATTAAATAAATAAAAATAAAAATAAATAAATCTTTTAGACAAAATTTGTGTCACATCAATCCTCTTTTTTCTTTTGGAAAGGACTATTTTAAAAGAATTTATTTAAGAGTATAAAATAAATAGTAGTTATTGATTAATCATTATTATTTTTTACCTTAAAAAGATGAAATTGATTTTTATTTAAATTGTAAATATCATGTGTTAAATTCTGATTGATTTATTTTAAATTAAAATATAAAAATTATTTTTTAATTTAAAATTTCATATTTAAAAAAATATTATTTTATTATTATTATTATTTAAACAATTTTATAAGAAATCAAATTCAAATTGTTGCTAAAAAAATAAATTTAAATGTGATTTGATGTTCCTAGACCCCAAAAATCTAAGTGTTATTATTTAATCATTTGTTCCTATCCTATACCCATGACTTTAAAATTTGCTCCGGCTAATAATCCTCATAACTTACAAGAATTCCCATCCTCGCAATTAATTTGGTGGAAATGAGAATGCGCCCATTTTTTTTTTTTTTTTTGGGTTTTCGTGCGGCTCTATCGCCACCTCCAATTATAATACTTATACGTTTTCAAGTCTTGCATAAATTACTACATTTTAATTTCACAAATCGAAACATTGAAATGATGGTGCAACAATAACTCAATAGTTAAATTTGAAATCAATACTCACTAATTTATGTATACCTTTATACTTTTTTTTGTAAGCAAATCCAATCCTTCATTTATCGTATCAAAAAATATATTAACAACTTTATTGAAAGTTGAAAAAGACTAGCACTTCATTCAACACTGTTTTTTAAACATATGATACATCATTACGTTATATAATATAAATTTAATGTGATTTGTTATAATTTTAAATTTTAAAAATATTAATTTTTTTATTAATTATTATTAATCACCAATTATATTAAATTTAAGGGTTACAAGACTCAATTTTTTAAAGAGTGCTTAAGTATAAAAAATATTAAAGAAAATGACATTAGCACTCTTGAAAAGTTTTACAAATTAAACTGTGAGTCGGCGACAGAGAGCAGGCAACATTAAAGTTATACCTAAACTTTGAATTTGGTGTGTGAGTTTAAAAACGTCATTTTCTTATCTTATCGTTTTAATTAAATGAATCAAAATTTATAGATTAAACAAGAGCCGATTTTGTGTACCATTGACCACAACATATCTGCAAATGAAGTCAAAGGGAAATTAACATCAAATCCAAATCAATCTTTGCCTTTGTCTCCTTGGATTTTAGTGATGGTACTGATATAGAAGAACTAGACTGAGTGAAATAATTATAGAGAAATAATCAATTTTACAATCAAATAAAAGAGATTGATATATTTTTCTTCTTTTACTTGTATTTATTTTGAAAATGTTTCTTTTTATTGTACATTGCATAAAAAAATTACCATTTTAGTTATAAAAATATCAAAAGATCTTTAATAAATCTTATTCAATAAAATATTTAAATACTTTCTCAATCTGAATTACATGCAGTCAAGATTGTAGAAAATATTTATGTTCATTTTTTCAAATGATAGTGGGTATTCTCTTGTCCACTTCAGAAGCCATCGGTATTCTTATTATCTTGAAGTTTGGAGGTTAATTGTTTCCAGCTTACAGTTGTGTAGGGACTAGAGAAGGATGATTGAACACAAGTCATTAGCGTGGTGGTGGTACACCTCACAAATGACTTGCTCGGTGGTGGTGCACCTCACAAATGACTTGGACTGGCAACCCGAATGCAGGTTGATTGCTACTTGACCAAATAAATGGAAGTGGTTTTCTCAATTTCTTTAAATGTTTTAGCTTATTTTCTTGAATAAAATCTAATAAAAGATGTATAAAGTTAAATTTAAAAGATAATTATTGGTACACACTTTAATTCAATAATTTCACAATATATTTATTAAAAAATTATTTTTTTTCAAATTTGAATTAAAAGTAAGAAAGTTAAAAGTTACAAAATTTAATAGTTAAATCAATAGATGTCAATATATGTCGTAGGGTGTGTTGAACAGAAAGGTGTATTAATCATTTTTTTT